TTKGTAGTCATGCACAAAGCAATGGGGTTTGATCTCAAGGACTGAAAAAAGAATATGCATGAGAGATTGTATGTGGCCCACAGAGCCTATTGCTGTCTTTCCCTTTATTGAAAAAGTTTTCCAATTTCTTGGATTGGAATTTTTTCTGTGTGTGGTGATGGGGATTGCACATGCTAGGCAAGTGTTCTTTTATTAAGCTATATTCCCAGTCCTAAGTTTCCCAATTACCAATATAGAGGAAGACATGACAAGGGATTATTGTGCTATACTGACTTCACTCTGTTTTAACACTTATATCATAAAATATATGCTGACTTAAGAAGCCAAAATCTAAAGTTATTGTCTTGTTGTCTGGGAAATACACAACACATAGAAAAGGAAAGTTTGAATATAGCCTAGACTATTTGCTGAAATTCCATTTCTGGGTATTCAGGGTATTCTGTGGTATCAGATAAAGCCATATGTGAATGTCTATTCTTCTGTTTTCTCCTTTCTGCCTACCTCCAACCCATGACAGTATTAAATGCAGTGTCTTGTTCATAGAGGGAAGACCTTCTCTTCAGATAACTAAAAGTCGTCCTTATAGCATGTCCTTGAATTTTCATTAATTGGCAGTAGGGATCACATTAAATTAAAAAATACTGTAATTGAGGCAGCCAGTATTGCTGTCTCATCAAGAAATCTAATCACAGACTGGCATCATAGTATTTGAAACCAAACCAGAGAGATATCCAAGAGGATTATTATCTGTAGATTGCAAGGAAGATAAACATTMTCTTTCAGTCTCCAATACTTTAAATAGAACCAACACTATGTCAGTAGATAGGCCATAGGATGTGGAAATTAAAGAGCCAAAGAGAACACCTACTTAGAAAGTAAGTAGTTTGTTAAGAAATGTGGCAGAGGGCTGGGGATGTGGCTCAAGCGGTAGCACGCTCGCCTGGCATGCGTGTGGCCCGGGTTCGATCCTCAGCACCACATACAAACAAAGGTGTTGTGTCCGCCRAAAACTAAAAAATAAATATTAAAAAAAAAAAAAAAGAAATGTGGCAGACCACATATGTGATTGTATGTTGTCCAAATGAAAAGTTCTTTTCACCAGGCTCAGGAGACTGAGGCAGGAGGATTGAGAGTGCAAAGCCAGCCTCAGCAATAGTGAAGTACTAAGCAACTCAGTGAGGGCTGGGGGTGCTGGGGGTGTGGCTCAAGCAGTAGCACACTCGCCTGGCATGTGTGCGGCCTGGGTTCGATCCTCAGCACCACATACAAACAAAGATGTTGTGTCTGCCAAAAACTAAAAACAAAAAAAAATAAAAAGATTACAGATCAGGGCTGAAAATATAGCTTAGTCAGTAGAGTGCTTATTAAAAAAAAAAAATAGGGCTGGGGATGTGGTTCAGTGGTTGAGTTTCCCTGAATTCAACCCCCACACTCTCCTCCCCACCATGCCAGAGAAAAAAAGAAGTTCTTTTCACACCCTGTAAAATTGGTTTTGTAAAATTTACAAATTAAATTGGTACTTAACTTTCCATTTTGTGCTGTTCATAAGGTTTTAATGCCTTATAGGCATTATAGGGTGTACTACCTTTGTAAAATTAATGGGATAGCTTTTCTTTTCTTCCCCCTCACCTGAAAAGTTCCCCTGGTAACACTTTTTTCCATTAAAGACTGTTTTAAAGGTAATTGATTCATTTTGTCGTCTTTTTAATCTTTCACCATTGTTTTACTTGTGTTTTATTCTTTGGACCAGTATTAATAATGTATTCTTGCCTAGAAAGTTGTCCATTTCATACCTATAAATACTAGTCTTATTTTGCCTCTTTATTTATAATATTACTCTGTTTACCTTTTCCTCTCAACTAGGTTATAGGTTGTTTATTTTTCTTTCCAAAATACTAGCACCTGGATAATTTTATGAGTTTTGGTGTTATTATTTGTTGTTATTTTTCAAATGTTGTTTAAAAGGAAGGGTTTTAGTTCATTTTATTTTTTAAGTAAATTTTATTGTGTATATTTGAGGTTTATAAACTTATCAGATACTTGGAAACAGTGAAGTGGACTGAAATGAAGTAGGTTAACATGTCTGTCATCTTACCTTTTTTTAAAATATATATATTTATTTTAGTTGTAAATTGATTTTTATTTTATTTATATGTGGTGCTAAGACTTGAACCCAAGGCCTCACACATGCTAAGCAAGTGCTCTACCACTGAGCCACAATCCTAGCCCCATTTCACTTACTTTTTGTGTGTGACAAAGCAGCTATAACCTACTTATTTAACAAAAGTCCACAATATACTACAATTTTATTAATATTAATTTTCATATTACAATTAGGTTTTTAGACTTGTTGCATATCTTAAATATTTTCTATTTTCCATTCTTTGACTTAACATCTCCTTATTTCTTCTCCCACTTAAAGGAGTTTTGATGTCCTTTTTGACATAGCTGTTTATAAATGCTTTTATTCTCAAAGAAATGTTTGCTCAGATTAAATTTATTGATTTTTACAATGATCCTTTTAAAATTCTTTTTTTGAAGGCACGGGATGTGCGTACCAATGAAGTGGTGGCCATCAAGAAAATGTCTTATAGTGGAAAGCAGTCTACAGAGGTAGGTTAAATATGTACATTTTTATTTATATGTTAGGGAATGAAATACTATTTTTAATTGAAGACAAAAAGTTTGAAATCTTTTAGGAATTTTAATGTATAATATACACAAAAGTGTACAAGCTGGGCATGGTAGTGCACACATACCTGTAATCCCAACAGCTCTGGAGGCTGAGGCAGGAGGTTCGAGAGTTCAATGATAGTCTCAGCAAAAAAAAGCAAGGCGCCTAAACAACTCAATGAGACCCTGTCTCTAAATAAAATATAAAATA